TGCTGGTCAAAATTAAAAGTAAATAGTTAAATAAAATAATTCTTAAAATTAAAAAAAAAGAATTGAATGAAATCAAACTACCTTTTCTAGTTTCAGTTTCTGTTTCTACATGATGTTAACTAACTCTACAGATGCCAACAGAGGGCACAAGTCAGACCAACCAGAAGTGACTGTGTTTTCCACATAGTCTAGAAATGAGAATTCTCTAGTTTTCATTTTACTTATTATTGGAGGGTTATTTACTTTTTTTGAAATTTATAATGGGGATATTTAATATCTAATATAGAGAAAATTTGTAACCAATCTCTCCATTCTTCACCCAGCTTAAAAATGTATGTTGTTATTATTTTAGAAAGAGATTTTGCTGTAAGGCATGTGTGCTTACTGGAGAGACAGACAGACAGAAAGTGAGAAATCACTCCTCTCCCCCCACCCCGGGGTGGGGATGGCCATGGTGCAGTCCCTTCTCTTCCATTCTTTTCTTGGGATTGGGCATGCATGCACATGTGTGTGTGGCATGAGTTTTTTTTTTTTTTTTTTGGAGAGATTTTCACTGTAGGGCGTGTGCGCTCGCCAGACAGAGAGAGACATAGAGACCGAAAGCGAGAAATCACCCCCCAGAGGGGGATGGTCACGCCGCAATCCCTTCTCCTCCATTCTCCTCTCGGGATCTTGGGCACGCACGCACACGCGCCCGGCGTGAGTTTTAAGCCACCGGGTCCGGGACACGAACCGCGGTCGACTTCGTGGGAGTCCAGCGACATAGCCATTACACTAACTGCTGGTTTCCTGTGGCATGAGTTTTAAGCCACCAGATCTGGGACTCAACCGAGACCCACTATATGAGAGTCCAGCGACGTAACCATTACACCATCTGCTGGTCCTAAAAATGTACTGTTCTTGGGGCTACAGGTGGCATGGTGGTTGGGGTGCTGGATTCCCACATGGCCGACTATGGTTTGAGTGCTGGACCTGGTGGCTTGCTTTCTTTGTCTCCCTTTCTCTCTCTCTCTCTCTGTGTCTCTGCCTGGTCAAATTAAAAAATAATAACAAATGGAATTAAATAATTCTTTTAAAAAATTCTTATTTTATTCAACCCTTGTCTCTAGTGCTTTCTGTTTCTCATGCTAGAGTGTCTTGAAGCCACTTTAAGACATTTTCTCTGTAAACATTGCAGCATACTTCTATGAGGACTATTTTTGTTGTTACTGTTTTACCTTTTTTCTTTTTTAATTCCTTTTTTTTTTATTTTGAGAGGTTTTTGCTATAGGGTGCGTGCACTCGCCAGAGAGACAGAGAGACAGAAAGTGAGAAATCACCCCCTCAGGGGGATGGCCATGCCACAATCCCTTCTCCTCCATTCTCCTCTCAGGATCTTGGGCATGTATGCACACACACCCAGCATGAGTTTAAGCCACCTGGGTCCGGGACTCGAACTGCAGTCAACTACATGAGAGTCCAGCGA